GATGTACATATCGGTCTGTAAGTAGAAGATTGAAAGAAACACTAAAGAATTTGAAAGTATTTATAAAAGAATTTAGAGAATAAAATGCAAAATATATAAATTGTAGTTAGAAAGTAGCAATAAAATATAGTAAAAATAAAAATAATATAAAAATAAAAGTAAATCTAAAATAAAACATACCAAAGATGTAGGACAATCACTCCTACAATGATATTTTATTATCTTAATTATAAGAAATTTTAAATATTGTGATAAGGCGGATTAAAATAAATAATTGTTATAATATTCACAATATGACGCAATTACACTATCTTAACATAAATTGTTTGTGCAGTTTTTTAGTCAGTAAAGTGGCATGTACAGGCTGGATGATTGAAGTTTGAATGCTGGCAGTGTCAGGGACTTTTCTCCTTGACACCATATCCAGATCCACTCTGATGTTTACCTGTCGTATAGGTACTGGAAGCTGTTTTCCTGGCATTAAACTGTTGAAGTGTGAAGCTGAGGTATCCAATATAGTGCAGAAATTGAAAGAATACATGAAGCCTTACTATCATCTCCCCGTCATGGCCTGATCAGTGTTGGTAACCACATTTTACCATACTTGAAGACAATGTTAATATGAACAGTGTGATTTTCACTGAAAAGGTTAATAAATTCTTTAAAATGTACAGGAAGACAGCTGAAAGAAAGTTTGAGGAGATGTGATTTAGACATGGTGGTAATTTCTTTTTGACTATCAGGAGACTTGTAATGTTTCCTGTGGTACAATTTTTGAGTTTGCATAGTAGGAGATTTTAAAGAGAATACTTTATACGTATGAAGGAAAGTTGAATTATATCAACACATACATGGCTGTGAAATTGATGTTGGATATTATGTAGTTCCATAAAACTGGAAATTTAATTTATAAAAATATTTTTATTTTAAGATATCTTGATTACAGTGTTTGAAAGGGCTTTAGAATAGGGAAAATATTTTGCTGAAGTCATATTAGAAATGAATTGATGGGTTTTCATTAAGGTTGGTATGAACATGATACCCTTTGATGTTTATCAGCTGTGTATGTTTTATGTAATTCCTTCATCAATAATGTCTGAATGAACATTGATCGATCAGTTTAATAGTTGTTAAGATACACATACAAACATGAGTCCCATTCAAAACTGCAGACTCGGTATCGCAGTATGCATCTGGATGTGATGCTATGAGGCTAACTTTACTTATTAAATAAGTTTTATGGTAAAGTTCCAATTATCTGACCTAAATGGGACTGAAGGATGGTTAGATAATAAAAACTGTCAGATTTTCTGAAGAATAATGAAAGAGAAGAGGGTAAGTATTAATAAGTAAAATAATTGACCAGGCTTTCTAATTTAAAAAAATAAGGGATGTCTTTTAACCCAGAACCTCCATGTGCAAGAGTAAGCAGGGGTTAATAATTGGTGGTGTAAGAACAACGGCACCGGGTGTAGATTTAATAACGGCAGAACTAATCAAACATGGAGGCAGTATGCTGCAGTGAAAGATCCACCACCTGATTGAAGAAGTCTAGGAGATGATAGAACAGATGCCACAGGAGTGGAGTACAGCCTTAATTTTCCTAAGACATAAAAAGGGTAGTAAACTAGAATGCAGTAATTATCGAGGAATCTCGCTTCCAAATGTTACATACAAAATCTTTACAAATCTATTGGGCAAAAGTTATGGAGCCATACGTGGAAGAAATTCTTGGGGAATATCAATGTGGCTTCCGACAAGGCCAGTCTACTACAGAGCAAATCTTTGGCTTAAGAATAATACTAGAAAAGACCTGTAAAATGCAGATATCCACCAGCTTTATGTAGACTATAAACAGGCATACAACAACATCAACAGAGGACAGTTAATAGAAATAATGAAAGAATTTGGGGTGCCATACAAATTGGTAAGGCTGGTCAATATGACTTTAGAGAACACTAATAATAAGGTAGAAATCCAAGGAAAGATGTCCCCAAGTTTCCAAACAGTAACTTGATTGAGGGAGGGAGATTCACATCTACACTCTTGTTTAATCTGTCCATGGAAAAGGTTATCAGAAATGTTAACACAAACCCAGGAGACACAATCTTCAATAGAACAAGACAGTGCCTAGCTAATGCAGATGACATAGTGATTTTAGGATGAGCAGTAAGATATATTACATAGATAGTAGAAGATATGGCAACTCAACTAGGACTTTCAATAAACATAACCAAAACAAAATGTTTGATTCATAGAAAGGATAATGATAACACACCAAAGGAGATTGAAATAAGTGTCCAGAAATATTAAAAGGTTGAATACCTGGTAACTAACCTCAATGATATTAAAATGGAAATAAAGGCTAGCTGGCTGCAGGTAATAATGCTCCCATGCACTAGGCCATATACTAAAGAATATTTATAAATCAACAAAACAGCTGAAATTACATCCATACCAATTTCAAACAGCTGCAACAGTGGAATTTGGTTTCAAGAATACAACATTGCCATTGGTTTTGTCATGTTATGCATGAAGTTGTTTGTGTGTAGTAGATGGGGTTGCATTTTACTTGGGATATTTTGTATTACTGGACTACTGAAAGGTTCGGTAACTTTCCTACAGATGACATATTATGTTACTTTAGCAGCCTGGTCGTTCTGAGCTCTGTGTACATTCTGTAGTTTCATGAAAATGGGTGTACTTTTCTAGGTCTTGGAGTGTTAAAAGGCATGCTTATAATTGAGTTTGAATTATGTGAAAGATGTGATTGTAGGGTGAAATCGATTCACGAATGATGACTGCTCTGCTGACTGGAGTGAACAGGGCATACCCATATGCAAAGCAAGAGATGGAGAAGATGTTGGAACATATAGACACCATGTACAGAGTGGTGCATTATGCCAGTTTTAATGTGAGCCTACACACACTTACCTTGCTGTTCCAAGTGGCAGACTTTGCCAACTCCGTGTCTGACAGGTAATACATTAACTCTTTCATGATTACATTTGTACTAAATAGCTTATCTTCCATTGTCATGATTTAGCAGCATAATAAAAAGTCAGTTTGTCTTGCCCTTTCGTGTTTCTGCTGTCTGCTGCCCAACACAGTTTTTCTCTCAAGTAATGGTGAAAACACATTTTGGCTAAATGTGAATTTTTCTCTTCTCTGGTACACACTATGCAGTGCAGTTATAAAATATATAAAATGTAGCAATTCAGGGTGCACTTTACAATATTTTGGGAAACGTTAACTTTATCTGATGACAAAAGCTTTAGATTAGTAGCTTAACCTTTATTTCATCTGAAAGAAGGGATTTAGACCTCTAATAGGGAACTTATTGGAATAAGGGATTTAGACCTCTAATAGGGAACTGTGTGCTAGATAATTGATTCAGAATGCCAGCTAGCTCTTGTGCATAAGCCATGACACATGGATGATAATTAGGTTAAAATGTAATCAGAAGTCATCAGTTTTGCCACTGTAATTGGCCATTGTTTGTCTATAAACCTTTTAGTCCTTTTGTATTATACAGGGTAAGTCAAAAGTAGCTGCACACCTTCGGAAAACTGTAGCCGTGTTACCTGCAGCCAAAATTTGCTGACATCAGCAGATGTCTGTAGAGCATAACCTTAAGTTTCGTATGTTTGTTGTAGTTCTTCACATTGCCACTGAGAGTGCTTGTGAATTGTGGAAAACAAAATGGAGACTTATAGTGGCAAGGAAAGAGCACAATGTGTGTTCTGGTTCGAACAAACGAATCCTCTTCCGTAATTCTCTAAGATCGTTGGGTAAGGAATGTGAAGAACTACAACAAACAAACAAAACTTGAGGTTATGCTCTACAGATATCTGCTGATATCAGCGCATTTTGGTTGCAGGTAACACGGTTACAGTTCTCCAAAGGTGTGCAGCTACTTTTGACTTATCCTGTATTTGATCATGAATGCATTTTTACAGTTAACTTCGGTGATTGTATAGGTGTATGATGATGGACAGTGAAGAAAATATTCACATGATTTTTAGTTTCAAATGAAATTAGACTAATTTATCCTTCTTCAAGGTTTTGCCCATTCCCTACTTGTAGTAGTCTGAATTCTATTTGCACTTTTATTTTGGCAACTTGGAGCAATGTTGCTCTGTTTTCTTAGGTTTCTAAGATGGGTGAGCAGGTTTGTCATAGCATCTCATATCACTGTTAGTGTATTGAAATCAAGTTGGTTGGACAGGTAGTTCAGATGGTGGTAACAGAAATGTTTACAGAATCCTCATGGAGAAACCTGTTATAAAATGGTAACTTAGGTGTCGATGGGAACATGATGATAAGATTGATGTTGGGGAAATAAGTTGTGTGGATTGACATTGGCTCGGGATTGTGTCTGGTCATGGATTTACAGTGGACCCCCACATAACGAAGTCATCGTATAACGACCTTTCTCTTGATGAATTGCTTCTTATAGGCCCCATTGACTTTCATAATTATTTTTTACTGCATAATGAATTGCTTACAAAGTCATGCAGTTTTCAATCATGATGCTCCTAATTGGACTCAGCAGGCTTCAGTCAATCATTGATACCCATTTATATGTGTCAAAGTTTGATTGCCTTTGTTTACATTGTTTGCTGTGTTTTGATTGTGGAAAGAGCTGTCTTTCAGGCTTTATGTTTCTGTTAATTTAAGTCATTTACCATGTTCTTATAATGTTTATTTGACAAAATTTTAAACTCTTTTGAGGTCATACAGGTTAACTCATGATGATCTTAGAATTAAGTAGGCCTTTAACACATATTTGTCAAATTTATATAATGAAGGCTTTCATGGGACAAATTAAATTTGTTTTACAGTGGTCCACTATAATGCATTTGATTTGATTAATGTTTAAGAAATACGAATGAAATGTGCGTTATGAAATGGTTTTAATATTCCATGAACTAGGTTCTACTCTACCCTCTACAAGAAGCTGCTGGACCCCAAGTTAGCGACCTCATCACATCAAGCATTGTTTCTCAGTCTTCTGTTCAAGGCTTTAAAGAAAGATGGTGACATCCACAGGGTGAGGGTGTTCTTTAAGAGATTGTTTCAAGTAAGTTTGATTCTTTCTTCATGCACATTACTCAATGATATTTGAAGGGAAAAGAAGGATTTTTATCATAATTTGATATATCCCATTATTAACTGGAAATTCATGCACTTCCTTTCTCAGATTCCATTATGAAAAACTTAGTGTGAAATTTACACAGTAATTTGTGTTAATGGTCCGTCATGGAAAATATCATGCCCTCTTATATTCTCTCAGAAAACAAAACAAGATAGTCTCTACATAGGTTCATTTGTAACAAAAATATAGCTTTTTTAATTTACCTTGTTACTTTCTCAAACATATTATTGTTAAACACTATCCAGTTAATAGGTTTTCAAGAAAGGAACCATAGTTTCTTTTTCTTTCCCCATAGTAGTTTCTTTTCTATTACATTTGCATAGTTATAAGGTCACACTTTAGACCAAACCATAAGAATGGCCAAAAGTGGCATACTTTTCATACTGTTGTTATGTGCCTATTGCTCTTTGTTACAAAGATTGGTAACAGTCTTTGTTGTTGTCTTTCACTCATAAGGATGGATTGAATGAAATACAAAGGAACTGTTTTCTTTGTATAGTCAGTTTCATTGGCAACAGGTGATCAGAAGTTTTGGAAAATCTGTCCACATTCACACACAAAACCTTGAACAAATTATTTGTTGAAGATTTCTGTCTTCTGGGTTGTTGCGCTGTGTAGTCTGGTCGATGTCAGCCAACACCTGATGACGGAGGCAGTATGACCTCTGAAACGTTGATTAACATTGACCAGACTACACAGCGCAACAACCCATAAGACAGAAATCTTCATACTCACCACTGTGAAAACCTCAGATCTTACATAAATTATTTGTTTTATGTGAAGTAATATAACAAGCACTAGTGTTACTTTATTTGTGGAAACATTGTATTTTAACACTAAATTGAAATTGTTAGGGCCAAGTTATTAAGATATTGGGGCTGTTAGTACATAAATTCAATGTTAATTGTAGGAATACCATTAACACTAAGTAACTAGACTGCTTACGGAACCCGAAGGTTCATCACCGAATTAACCAAAGCCCTCCACCAGACCCTGTCCTGGGCCAACAAAATCCAGTCTCCTTCAACTCCTATTTCCCATAGATACCGCTTGATATTGTCCTCCCATCTACGCCTAGGTCTCCCCAGCGGTCTCTTCCCCTCAGGCTTCCCAACCAACACCTGGTGCACACCTCTTGTCCCATCCATGCGCGCTACATGCCTTGCCCATCTCATTCTTCTCGATTTAATCACCCTGACAATACTGGGGGAGGAGTACAGATTTTTAAGCTCCTCATTATGCAGTTTTCTCCGTACCCCATCGTCTTCTTTCCTAGGCCCAAATATCCTCCTCAACACCCTATTCTCAAACACCTGCAATCTGTGTTCCTCCCTTAGAGTGAGTGACCATGTTTTGCACCCATAAAAAACAACAGGAAAAATTATTGTTTTATGTATTTTAATCTTTAGGTTGTTAGAAATCTGACGGGAAGACAAAATATTTTGAACTGAAAAGTAGCAAGCACTTCCGGAATTTAGTCTCCTAATTTCCTCATGAGTATCATTTTGATTTGTTATTGTTGTTCCCAAATGTTTGAACTTTGTCACACTTTCAAAGGATTTATTAACACTAAACAGATTAAATATTTGCGGTTCTTATGGTGATAAAGATATAAGGTTCTCGCAATGAAGATGGGATTTTACTGTAAACTATGTAGGTATTAAAGTGTCTTTAAATAGATGAAAAGATAAACATAAATGAAAGGAATTGACTGATTGTTGAACAATTAAATTCTCTATAGATATACACCACATTCAAGTTTCACTGAATTTTGTTTTCTAAAATTTTTCCTTCCCAGATCTGTGGATATTTGCCAGTGTCGCTCGTGTGTGGTATATTATACATGACCTCACAGTTGACCCATAAGAAGGAAAGTCTTCTAGCACTCAATATAGTGTCTACAGGCTTTACTAATGATGACGATGATGATGATGATGATGAGCATTATGACGACATCAAGCTTGAGGTATGTGTTGTTGTTTTCCAGACATTTCATTGGACCTAAAGTTTAAGGTTTTTTTATGGTGAAGATGTAAGTCATGGTCTTCAAGGTTGTGGCTCTAGCACCAAGCAGAAGAAGTGTAGAGAACAGATTTTTGCAATGTTCCAAATTTGAAAGTTTATAGGTTTCTTATTATTTTTTATGTATAAGGTATACATAAATTATTTTTTACAGCTTGTGAATAAAATCTTTATGAAAAGATATATACTCAATGTTTGAGCATCACCTGCAAGAGAAACTTATAGAGTTTGTTCTGAACATTACACACATTCAACATGGGCACCATATGTCACATGTACAATGTCCAAATGATATTCAAGATTCGTCCATGTATGCTGCAGCATGTCATTGTCAACTGTTGCAATAACAGCTACAATTCTGTCCTTCAAATTGTTTATGTCATCCACCAGAGTTCCGTACACACAGTCTTTTACTTATCCCCATATAAAGAAATGACAGGGTGTGATATCTTGTGATCTGGCCAGCCAAGAGATGGGACCAGCCTGACCAATCCATTGACTTGGGAAATACTGATTAAGCGATGCATGCACAGTCAAGCTCCAGTGTGCTGGTGTTCCATCTCACTGGAAGAACATCCCAGGTTGCAGTTCTTGTAACTGTGGATAGATAAAGTTTTGCAGCATTATCCAGGTATTTGCTGAATGTCACAGTTGTTTCAGCAAAGAAGAAGGGTTCAGTCAAATGATCGTGCAACAGGCCACATTTATTATCTTTGGGGTTGTCTCTAATGTGCTACACTATAACATGAGGGTGTTATGATCGCCAGATGTGTACATTCTGTTTTTTTACCTTTCCTGAAATATGGAATATAGCCTTGTCAGAGAATGCTAGTTTCTTTTGGAATTTATTGTCTTCATCCAGTTTCTCAAGCATGGTCTCAGCAAGTTCCTTATGGGCTACCCTAGCATCTGGCTTAATTATCTGCACCACTTACAACTTGTAAGCATACAGACTCAAACGTTTTTGTAACACCCGATGCACTGCCCAGTGTGACATTTGCAACTCTTATGCTGCAGCTCGTGTCGACGTACATGGACTGCAGACAGAGATTCTGCATATCCTTTCGACATTTTTGTCAGACATGTGAATGCCCTGTACCTTTCTTGTGAAAAACACTTTGGTCTCTTGAAACTGTTTGTACCAGACATGTATCAATAATGTTGATGGTGGTGTCTTGTGATACTTTGTTCTAAAAATCTTTGGACCTGTGTATCCAATTTCATTTTGATACGCCTCTGTGGCTTTTCCTGTGGGTTCATGGTGACTGACTTGATTAACAAAGACAGATGCAGTGCAGTGGAAAACAATGGGTACTACCACTACAGGGAACTCTGTGAAACTTTAAGAGTTTCTCTCACAGATGACACACAAACTGTCTCTCTTTGTCTTTATAAAGGTTTTATTTACAAGTAAAGTTGTAAAGATAATTTATATATATGTACCCTGTATGTCAGTATTTGATGACTTTATGGAAAGTTGTCATTTTAAATTTTGTGTTAAGTTAAACAGAAAGAAATTCAGTATTTGTTATACCAGGTCTACAATTTATGAGGCTGCGGTCGTGCTTGGATTGCGTGGTCGGCTGGCGCTCTGTTGATGTGGGCGGGAGTTGTGCGCGTTCTTCTGGTGGGTCACCAGCGAATCAGTTTCGTGCGGCTAGTAACAGCAAACTACAAATATTTCTCATCACTAATGCATGTTATTACATTAATTGTTCTTACCTTAAATCACAAAAGATGTTCAAAGTGACTTCCTTGTGCTTGCAGGCAAGCTTCACATCTCGTTAACATGTTTCAAAATACTCGACAAAGCTCTTCTTGGGAAATTGCCGAAATCAATTGTTGAATATTTTCTTTAAGTTCTTCTGCAGTATGCGGATTGTTTACATAAACTTTGTTCTTCAGCATGCCCCACAGGTAAAAATCGCACAGGTTTAAGTCTGGAGAACGCAGAGGCCACTGATCGATAACTTGTTCACCAAACACTTCTCTTAATGCTAATATCGGCCGATCAGCTGTGAGCTGTAGCATTGTCTTGCATGAAGAAACCATAAGTCTTTTCTTCATCGGTCATTTTTTGGGAAAAGGGTCTGAGTATTAAATTTACATAATGTTCACAATTTATCTGCACACTGCAAAAGAGCTTAAAGAAAATATTCAACAATTGATTTCGGCAATTTCCCACGAAGAGCTTCGTCGGGTATTTCAAAACGTATTAACGAGATGTGAATCTTGCCTGCAAGCACAAGGAAGTCACTTTGAACATCTTTTGTGATTTAAGGTAAGAACAATTAATGTAATAACATGTGTTAGTGACGAGAAATATTCATAGTTTGCTCTTACTAGCGGCACTTAAACTGATTCGTTATTGACCCACCGGAAGAACGCGCACAACTCCCACCCACATTGATGTGGCCAACCACGCAATCCAAGCACGACCACAGCCTCATAAAGTGTAAACCCTGTACTACCATCTCTAACCTGAAACAACATAACTCATGAAATTCTTAAGGTATTAAATAATGAATCTTACATTGTCTTCTTGGTTTTGAAACTAAAGAAAGGGATGTGAGATTATATAGCCAATCAAATTGTCGGTGGTTTCTGTTTCAGGAGCATGAAGAACTTGGAACCTCTCAGGATGGAATAGGTTCTGAGGAGAAGAGCAACGATAATGTTACTGTTGTGGCGTCTGCCCCTACCTGGTTTCATTGTCAGAATGCAAGGTCTGGAAATGGTATGCAGAAGAAGACAGCTGCTTACAACCCATTTCAGAGAAACCCATTGTTTGCTGGTGGAGAGCACTGTGCTTACACAGAACTTTTGAAACTGAGTCAGCATTTCCATCCAACTGTCACACTGTTTGCTAACAAGATCCTGCAAGGTTAGAGCTAAATATTGTAAGAAATGTGTCCTTAGTGAAGAGTTATAATACAGTCTCAGTCTCATAACATTAAGGTTTCTTTGGCAGATGGATTAAAACACCAAATGAGGTAAAATCTCATTATGAGGAACATTAAGGGGTTTTTTCCTGATCTGTTTGCTTTTATGAATAGGCTGTGTAGCATTTTACTCATGCATTGTGTTAGAAAAAATTTGCCACATTTTATTTGCTTACTGTTCTCATCTTCAGAAGAAACTTTGTCTACTTGTGTGTGTGCATGCATGCATGTTTACACGCACATGAACACATGCACATTGGATCTTTCCATACACTAGAAGTAGTTATTTTTATCATTTGTCTCTTTCCAAGGTATGATAGTTAACTGAACTGTTTTGTGTACCTACTGGTAACTCTTATGAGTTGGTATGTGTTGATCATGTGACCATATGATTCAGTACCTCATCAAATGGTCTTTGGGATTCAGTATGTTATATGGTTGCAGTAAGTGTTTTATTGGCTCATTGTGCCCCCCCTTTTTTGTTTTTGTTTTGTGTCAAAATTTATAAAGTGTTAAAATGGAGAGTCATTGTAGTTTTTAGCAAAAATGAAGAAAACCCATTGACATTTAAATAAGTTACCCAGAATTTATTGAGAGTTTTTTTGTTTGGTTTGAGTTATTTTCAGCCAGTCAGTGATCATGTGGTCAAATTTGTGGTACTTTGATTATTCGGACACTGGAATTGTGGGTTTGAATCCCACTTGAGGCATGGATGTCTGTCCATATCTTTCTGAGTTGTGCTGTTATGTGTAAGTAGAGGCCTAGCATCTAATTGATCACCCATCCAAGGATTCTACCATATGTCAAACATTTTCATAATTTCAGAAGTAATTCTGAATTGGAAATCCATAAAAAGGTGACAAAGTAGTTCCTTCAAGATGGAAGAAAAGACATTACAGACAACAAAATATCCTTCCACCTGGAAACTTGAACTTTCATGTCAATTAACTGTTAAGAAGATGGAGAATTGAACAGGAATATAGATAATTTTGACCAGAAATGTTCCCATGAATGAAGTGTTTGAAAATGATATGAAAAGTTCCTGTGCTGGTTCAAAACATTGGGAAAGAGAATTTTCACAAGATAGTGACATGGTGAGATGTGGGTCAGAAATAAAATTAAAAAGTCTTTGAGAATGAGACATGCTTTAGTGTCAGAATTAAATATGAAGACGATACTGATTTTAAGCAAGAAGAGAATTATTTTTATGAATTTGTTCTCCAAAATATTCTGCCTTCAAGTTTTGAAATATGTGTCACACCATATTCATTGAAAAGAGCAGATCCTTATCTGGAATAGTGGATTTTGCATCATAACTCAGTGTCTTCCCACAGTTCATTTGAAAAACAACTTTTGTCCAAGAAACACTTAATTGGTATTGAAACTTCCTTGTCTTGATTGTCTGTCATGTTCCAAAAACTAAAAGTCTGCTTGAAAGGATCTGATTTTGAGTCTTCGGATGATATTAAGAGCAACGTGATGACAGTGCTGAAAGAATGTTACAAAAATAATATCCAGTAGTATTTCCAAGCATGGCAGAGGTAATGGGATGCATGTATAAATTCAGACCACTTTCACTAAAATTTAGTGGCAGTTTTGTGTTTGACAGATTCATCCAGTTATTTAACAATCAAGCCTTACAAGTTCATTGCCTGAAAGTATCTGACCATTTACTTTACATGCTCATACCAGTGTACAAAGATTTTTACTAGTTTTTTATCTCTGTTAAGACAAATGTGTTAGGATGAACTGAGCATACAGAATGTTGTGAAAACATTAATGCTTTGAAGTGGGTCTTAAGGAAATTGGGTTCCTATAATGTGGATCAAATTCAGTTGGTTTAAAATTGTTTTATTGTTGTATTTCAAAACTTATAACACAAATGAGTGATGTTGCATCTGTTAACCAAAGTCATTTTGAAGTTAATTTCATTTTTATTTTGCAGGTGAGGTCATTAAGTACCCAGGGGATCCTCTCCAAGACTTTACTCTTCCAAGGTTTCTAGATCGATTTGTATTTAAAAATCCAAAAAAGAATATCAAAGAAGAGGTGATTAGGAACTCCAAGTTTTCACGTAAGAAAACATACATTCCTTCAGGCATCAGGTCTCTGCGTGTTGACAGTGCTAGCTACCTCAATGAAGATGAATCCAAAATCCCAATTGATGAGCTCTTCATGTACAGGTTAGTGTGAAGTGATTGGGCAAAGAATACAGACCTGTAAGGGCCAGATAATTTGGTAGGAAAATTACAGATGTGTAAATCGTACAAAAATGTATTGTGCAAATCGGAGGATATGCACTACCATTTAAATTAAGCCTATACAAAAATGTATTGTGCAAATCAGAAGATATGCACTACCATTTAAATTAAGCCTTTGATGAGTATGAATGTAACATACATTGTGATGCTACATGGAGTATGAACTTACCTGAACATTTTTTACTTTCCTTGTCCTGTGGAGTTCACACATACACCAAATATTTGCTTTGTTGAGGACTGTTTTCAGATCTCATCTAGGGTACTGGCTTTTCTGATTGATTTGTATATATCTTCTCAATCTCTCCCTGTAAAGGCTTGGAGAGTACCTTGAAATGCATCATGACCAGTTCCCCCTACATCCTTACCAACAGCATTGTTAAATAACCAAAAAATCAATTATCCATTGCTTCTAAATCACAAACTCTCCATTGGACATGATCCTGTAACTTTTCAGTGCAGCTAACATCTTCATATCCTATAAGAGAATATCTTAATTTTTTGACATGACTTTTCAAGAGGCTATCCCAGCAAAACATCTTAATTTTTTGTCATGACTTTTCAAGAGGCTATCCCAGCAAAATTCTGTTTACTTTTCTTGTTTCTCCCATATGAGTAATGTGAATGATATTGCAGATACTTGCATAAGAAGAGAATCAGGAATGGAAAGAAGAAAGATGAGGATGCTAGGAGTGATGCATCTAGTGTAGATAGTGAGGAGTTTCATGAGATGTTGGACAGCTTGTTGAGTGACAAAGAGGAATGTCTAGACTTTGCAGAAGGTCTGGGAAGTTCTACTTCCAAACAAAATGAAGGTTTGTTTAAACATCTGTTAAACATATTTGATGTTACCTTTGTGGATTTTATGGCTCTGAACATGTACTGCTAATCAATATATTTGTAACATGTGTCTGTACAAATGCCATGTATCAAGTTGTGGTACTTCATGGATAACTAGAAACAGAGTAAAGTATTTAATACAATCATATTATATTACATTCCCTTTAAAGAATACCTTGGTATAAGTTCCATATTATTCAGAGGCTTGGGAACCTAACATTTAATGATGCTTGTGTTGCTCCCACTGTAGAAGGTTGCATGGCCACCACGCTGATATTGCTGGTGACAGAAAGTTCAAAAGTAATGGTAGAACCACCTGCAGATTTCTACAGTTATCACTAACAACCTGCATGTTATATCTTTCAGTTTTTAAATAATATGAGCTATATTTTTTAGTTATCAGTTAAGTACCAGGTGATTCAGTACTATGGCCAAACTTTTGGAGGTATTAGAGATATAATTTGGATCTGAAATTGTAAATAAATTGTGTTTATCACCATTGTCGAGTTTTGATGTTTAGCTACTTTTTTGAGAAAATGAAGTAATTGTCCATTCATATATACATTTTATTTTTTACGTGTATTTTTATTCCTTACTTTTATTTACAGTGAATGAGAAGCAAATATTCAAATTCTTTAGCATTTTTAAGTTTGAATTTTTCATTATGTTTAACACAAGTGTCAGATCATGTAGTGGGGACTGTTACTTTGCCATTGCAAATAATGTGAGCCACAAGCTGATGTAATATGAGCTCTGCCTTATGACATTATGAATGTTACACCACACAAACTGAGTATTTGAAACACCGTAGCTCTGAAGTGGTGACAGACTGGACAACTCTTTGTTTATTTTTTCTACTCCAAATTATCTCCTCAATAGACTCCTGAATTTGGCCATAGGACTTTGAATTGATCAGTATATTAACTCCAAGCAGTGTCCCATTTCACTGTTACTCCGTTCTTATCTGATCTAGCACTTGGCAGGTCTGGGAGTAAATGTAAGGGCTCATGCACCAGATCTTATATGACTCATCTATAAATGGGTTAGAATTTAAAATATCCTTTTGCAGATCCAGAAGATGATGAAGGAGGAGAAGAAGAAGAAGAATATGATGATGAAGAAGAAGAAGAAGAAGAAGAAGAAGAAGGTGAAATAGATTTTCAGCAGAATGATTCTTCTGGAGATGATGACATCATTAGTGATGATGATTTGGATGATGCAGAAGATATTGTTTTTGATGATTCTGGAAGTGATATGGACCTCAGTGATACTGATGAGGTTTCTAAGCTAAAAAAGAAGCAGAAGCATAAGGTGGTTTGTATTTTTAGTCATTATTTATTTATTTTATGGTTTGGTGTCTGTAATGTTTACCATACTGTTTATACAGCACTAAAGGCATGTCTGACTTTTAGAAAAAACAGTAGCATTACAACATAAAAATAAAGTGATACAGTGGGATAATGCACATCACTCAGGTACTTTACAGACAAGTTAAAAAATATTACCAGTGTGTAAACATGTTTCAACATGCCTCTCTAGACTTAGTATCAGTCAGAGATGGTAGATTGTCTCATATGTGTGATAAATTAGAAGTTTGTAATTTGCCTGGGAATATATTTTATTGACAGCACTTCTATACAACTTGAGACTCTTGAAATGTCTGTAGTTCCTGAAATTTTACTTACAAAAATATATTTTTCTGAGGAATTTAAAAAAGATCATAAATGTACCCAGTTCCTTTATAGATATGTTAAAGTGAAGCTTCTTTCTTTAATACTTCCCATCTTTTAAGAAGTCTTCCTATTTGTCTTCATTCCTCTTTAATAATTTGAATCTTACCAGAACTCTGTCTTTCAATAATTGATTCCAATTTCTGTAGTATTATAATGACTGTCAGCTCCTCAAGAAGGGCTCTTCCATGTAATTAGTTACACAAAAACTATAATCTTACCTCTTGTTTTGTATTGTGTCTCTAACATTAAGGGGAAAACACAGCTTGAGGTGTTTGAGAATAGGGTGCTGAGGAGAATATATGAACTTAAAAGGGATGAAGTGACAAGAGGCTGTAGAAATTTTGTTTAGCATACATGGAGGAAACAATAATGTTTGTCAGTAAACCACTTTGGAGACATGAGCATAAGTGGAAACATAATACTAAATGGATGTTGAAGTACTATATTTTGAAGATCTGATTGGAATATTTGGTTTACGATAATGTCCAAAGTAATCTCTTGTTACTGATGGTGCAAGCTGCATAATGGAGTAGAACAGGGACCAGGTTAATTAATGTCCAATACTCCAAGAATATGCTGAAGCATGGAGGCAGTTATTATTCAAAGCATACTTTTGATTTATTTCCAGGAGGGTCAGAACAAGAAAGGGCATGGAAAAGCCAATGATATTTTTGTTTCTGCTGAAGAATTTTCGGAGATGCTGGACAGTGCAGGAGCCTCTGGTCTCAGAATGTCAGGATCATCTGCTCTTTCGAATAGAGATAATGCAGGTAAACTCTGATCATGTTTAGGCTGAAAAACGAATTCAGTACAGTGGCCACTATTCCAGCTTTATACTGCTGAGAAATCCAGTTTGAACATTATGTAGCGCCTTTGCACAAGTAGCGGATCCAGTTTGTGTTCCAGAAATTGAGGGTTTTTTTCTAATATCACATGGTTAGAAAATTATCTGTTTGTGCTATCTCTGTGATTCAAAATTTATTCTTACATCCTGATGAAAGTCTTACATCTGCAGATACAAAGTTGGCCGCCAGTACAGTAAGGTGTTAAATGTAGTCAATTTACATTCTGTGGCCTAGAACATAACAGTACTTGCTTTAATGTTGTTTATTATTATTAAGTGTTCTGTCTTACGACAGGTCCATTGCTCTGCCCAAAAAGAGCTCTCCAGTTGTCCCTATTCTCGGCTTCTCGCTTTAATTCCTGGAACGTCATCTTCTTTCCTTGTTTAAGGTCGTCGGTTAGCTGTATCAATCTTCTTCCCAGTCCTCGCTTTCCTTCAACCTGGCCTTCGATGATGTCACTCAGTAACCCCTTCCTTCTCATAATATGTCCCAGCCAGTTAGCTTTCCTTCGTGTAATCTTTGCTCGTTGACTCTCCTCAATACTTCTTCGTTGGTCCCTCGATCCGTCCACCTGATCTTCTCTATTCTTCTCCAACACCACATTTCGAAACTCTCCAGGTATTTCTGTTCCTTCTTCCTGAGTGTCCAAGTCTCTGCTCCATACGTAACACTTCACTAGTTTCTTCTTCATCTCCAAGCCCAACTTGCTAGTGAGAAGTATCCTCTTCTTGACGAAAGCTGCCTTGGCCATGGCTATCCTTGCTTTTACTTCCTTGGTGCATAGGGTGTCCGTCGTGACTATGCTTCCCAAGTACTTTAAATGCTCCACATTCTCCATCTGTTGGTTTCCAATTACAAAGTTCAATGGTTCTGCTCTCTTTTAATGTTGTACTACACTAAAATTATTTTAACTTCACAGCACCTAATTTAAGATTGTAAGGGAATTACTTTCATTGTTTTCAGGTGAAAAGCAGTTGAAATGGGAGACTGAACGAGATTTCTGGTTTAGCAGAGGAGGAAAGCGTTCAGGGAAAAGTAACAAAAACAAGAGGAAGTTGGATGGTTATTCACTTGGAAAATGGAATGAGAAGATAACAAAACGAAGAAAGAAGTAGTGACAGAGAATAAGATGAGAGTTTTGAGGTTTGCACAGCTGTGAGTCTGAAGATGGCTGTCTTCTGAGTTGTAGTGCCATGTAGTCTAGTAGAAGGTTACCTTCTACCAGACTACAGCAGTATAACCCAGAAGAGAATAATAGCAAGTCACCTGTGTAAACACTTTTATTCTATGTGATTGAAAGTCATAAATCATGAAGTGGGAGAAACATGTACATAAATTACATTAAATAAATCAGTGGCTATTTTAAATGCCCTTGCTTGTCTTAAAACCTTGCATACTGTGTATTGTATTGGAATATAAAATATGCATACAAACAAAACTGTTTACACTATGAAGGACACTAATGCCAAACACGTTTTGAACTCAGTCCTAACAACAATGTCTTATGCTGAAGTGTAATCATAGAATTCATATGCATAATAGGATTCTAGGTTTTCAGAGTGGTAATTCTGAATATGGGCTGACTTCTGGGTTGTAGCGTCATGTAGTTTGGTAGAAGTTTACCAGTGATTCAGGGAGGCAGCAAGGACGTCTGAAACATTGGTAAACTTTTACCAGACTACACAGTGCAACATCACAGAAGGATGCATAACTTGAAGAGCTCGAATGTATGCTATATGTTTTGCCCATCTGTTCCTCCCTTGTTTGGTCATCATAGTAATTGGTGAAGATGCAAATTATGAAGGTTATCATTTATGCAGTTTTCTCCAGCCCCCGTCACTCCCTCCACCTAAGGTCATAATATCCTCAGAACCCTCTAGCCATATTCTTTTCAATAGAAGAGAAGACAGCATCTTCATCTTGTAAATACAATGAAATACCCTATTCACTCCTTCATTAATAAGTGAGAACTGAAATATATTTATGTGTATGGAATTGGATGGAATTTTGCAAATTGGCAACATGAAATGCTCTAAACTATGTTATACTGCTTAACATGACAAGACTTTGTGACATTATTTGCCATTTACAAGCTATGTAGCATAATGTAGGAATGTTCACCCACTCTCAAAACAATAATTATTTACAAGTTACTTATGATGTGGCCTTGTTATGACGACATATAGTTAAGAGTTTCTGGTTTCAGACACGCACGTCCTAAAGAGACTAAGATGTGCATACGGGATTGTCGGACTTAGAATAATTTCAGTGAGGAATGAGTGTTTGACGTGGAAAGTCGTATGCAGTGACTCTTACACCAGTTGATAATTACAGTAATATAAGACAAGATATTGTCAATTACTTTGATAATTTGGAAACATTTTGTGTTGGTATTGAGAAACATAAAACTACAGATAATTATCATTTACATATGTATTTGAAGTTTTATAATGATTGTGATTGTTTGTACGTAATTATTTAGATTGGTTTGAAGGTAGTATTAATATAGAGCCTTGTAGATCAGCAAGAAATTGGTTAAAATATGTCACAAAAGAGGATAGTGAAGCGTACTTCAATTTTTCAGTTGATCAGTTGTTGTTCTATTGCCGGCTGCACTTTTGGGCTAGGAAGACGGAGTCTTTTAGGTACTCAGACCCATTTGTGGTTGAACATTTACAGAAAGCTAAATTCCTACAGGAATTTCACAATGAAGTCAGAATGCGTATGGTTAGAGGTCAGAAAGTTTTTCATAGAATGGAGAGGATCAACCTTGGTTGGCCTATGGAGGTTGCCCTGTGGTGGAATAGGGTTATTTCCTCAGATGGAGATTATAAGAAAACTTTGTACCTTCATGGAATTGGAGGTGTTGGAAAGAGTTATCTTATTGAGAGGTTGGTTGGTTGATAGTAATCTGGCAGATGTGTTTTATCCCGTCAGTGGGAGTTTTTTCGGAAGTGATCTCACTGACCAGAGAGTTGTCCTTTTTGAGGAATTTGAATGGGACGTATTTTGAAGTACAGTGAAACCGCGATGCATCGTTTTCGGCAGGGGTGGGAAATAAAAACGATGAATGCGGGAAAACGATAGATGCGGGAAAGCATTAAAAATTTAAAAAAAAACAATGTTTCTCTTTCAAAGTTACTTCTTTTTACCAAAAAAGTCTTTAATGGACAACTGGTGTGTCGAAACTTTACGTTGTAGACCAAACAGAGCACTTTCCACGTTCAAAATGTTTTCTTCGTCACGTTCACTAATATTATGCGCATAAAAGAACGACTTCACTTTTGCCAATGCAGCGTGTGCTTCGGCAAAACTCGGCAAAGTTCGGGCTCGCATTCGTCGTTTCTCCCTCTTCCTCACCGCTCCCTCAACCTTCGCGGACTATAACAGGAAAAATGGAAGTACTATTACTGCCGAACTCAACGAAACGTAGCTGTAGAAGACACGATATGAACCAGAAGAATGAAAAAGTTTCGCTCGCCTTTCCTTTGTACTTATAATAAAAGCATTTGTGAAGAAATTCACACTGCACATGCCATCTGGCATCGCTGGAACGAAATATGAGTGCACCCTAATTAAAATCGTAAAATTTCTGACAATGGGCACCGCCATTCACTCCAACTATCACCCCTGCACCGCTGACCCTCATTCCAAAAGAATGTGCTGGTTGGGCGACATAACAGGTTACCGCTACTGTTTATTCCAAAAACATTGTGCGTCTTTCGGTATTAATTTATCTCAAAACCCAGCATTTTAAATTCTCAGAAACAATCATTGCGGGAAAATTGTGGGCCGGGACTAAGATTTTTGAACGATCGATGCGATAAAACGATAGTTCGAGGAACGATAGAAGCGGGAAAATGTAACATTATTTTATATGGGATGTATTCGGGACCGAACAAAACGGACGATGCATCCGGGAAAACGATAGTTCCGGGAACGATAGATAGAGGTTTCACTGTATTTTGAACGATCGATGCGATAAAACGATAGAAGCGGGAAAATGTAACATTATTTTATATGGGATGTATTCGGGACCGAACAAAACGGACGATGCATCCGGGAAAACGATAGTTCCGGGAACGATGGATAGAGGTTTCACTGTAATTTGTGGCAGATCAAGCGGCTTGTTGAGGGAAAATGCTTTCCTGTTGATGTCAAATGTAAATCAAGGAGGGTTATCAGTTTTAGCGGTATTGTAATATTTATTTCTAATAGTATGCCAGAGTATAATGAGGCTTTTAAGCGTAGGTTAAATGTTGTGGAGGCGCAGGAGGTATGGAATACGTACAGGGAGGAGGATGTCTTGGAGGAGAAGGTACATCTTAGGGAGAAAGAGGTTGTTTGGGGTGAAGAGGTCGTTGAGATTTCGTCGTCGCCCATTACGAATTCGCAAGAAGCATAGTTTTTTTAACAGAAAGAAATATGCATCAGTTGCTAGACCATTATTTTTTAAAGTACTTCCAGTAATGAAATACTGTTCTACTAGGAATTTTTGGCAACAGAGTGCTATAATGGGTGGTATGGGAGTGGCGCCAGATGGTAAAGAACATATATATTCTACTGATTTTTTTGATACTGTACCAGATAATACTATGATTCATTTATCAACTATATATAGTGGTATATTAATAGTATGGAACTGTTAGGTATAGTAATACAAAAAATGTTTGTATCCGAATGTCATTTAATTATATTTTTTAAATTTGAAATAGTAAGTACTGAAATAGAACTTTTTTTCTTCTGAAGTACTTCTACCACAAAGATGTCCAGCCCAGTACTTTTTGATGGACAAACCCTTTATATCTCCACATAATAGCCAGAAGGATTGAGACATTTGTATTAATAGAACATGTAATTCACTTCTGCAGGTCTGAAAGTAAGGCTCATTGTCTGCACACTCTGGCACTCAATGGGCTTCACTGTATTACTGTCCTTCTGTAGTATGATGGGGTTTGTATTACTGTGGGTAAGGTCAGGGCTGTAAGTTGGATGGGCAAGGTACTTATTCACACAGAATCTGCTAAAGAAATTGCATTGCATTGCTGTGTTAGAGTGAATGTGTGGCTAAGGATCACTTTCTGTATGAGAAGACTGGTGTTTCATCTGGATATTATCCTTCATGTACCGCAGTGTCATACAGTAGTGATCTGAAGATTTCTGTCTTCTGGGTGGTTGTGCCGTGTAGTCTGGTCGATGCATCGACCAGACTACACGGCGCAACAACCCAGAAGACAGAAATCTTCATACTCACCACTGTGAAAACCTCAAATCTTACAGTAGTGATCTGCATTAATTTTTGCTCTGTAGCCCAGGAACTCCAGGAGAATACTCTGTACATTCTAGAATGCCATTAGTGGTAACTTCCCCAGTCTGAAATGTCCTGAAGTTTTTCTTTTGGGTGAATGGTATGTGTTTTCACTACTTCGGTGTTGGGATGAAGTGACAAACCCATGTTTCATTGGTGGTGACAATGCAACAGAAACTTTAGACGTGGAGAAAAATGTTCACAGCATTTTTGGATGCATAGGTAATTCTCTTTGTTGGGTTCCTTCTCATCATCATCATCTAGCTGTCAAGGATTTTGGGCCTTGTGACCCGTTCCAGCCTCAGTCATCCAGGAATCTTTTTATAGGGCGTCCTTTGTTTCTTTTTCCTATTGGTTTATGTTTCAAAATTTGATGTGGCAATCTGTCCTTGTCCATTCTTCGTACATGTTGGATCCAGTTACTTCTATATCTGTGGATTATTTCCAATATTGGCTCTGTTTGTAGGTCTTTGTGGATGACATCATTTCTTTCATGATCTCTCCATGTGTATTTGGCTGTTTTTCTTAAAAACTTCATCTCTGCTGCTGTAATTCTTGATTTGTTGCGTTGTTTCATTATCCAGGTTTCACTTCCGTAAAGAAGTGTAGGTATGGCCAAGGTTTTATATATTTTCAATCTAGTTTGTGTTGGGGTTTTAGAGGGTTTAAAGATTTGATTAATGATGCCTGTAACTTGTAAGTATTTAGATTGGGTTCCTGAATGCATTAAATGTCCTGTTGGACACGTAATCGTCCACTGATCATAACCCTGTGGAGCTGTAGTCGTCTTAGGGTGGGTATTCGGCTGTCTCCTCCCAAGGGCGATGTGGGTGTCTCAGGGTGTATGATACTAGGTCCTAGCTCATCAGTGGGTGGACTCTTATCTCAGGTCGTGTTAACTGCCTGGTTTGCACAGCCAATGATAACTCAGATTGGAAGTTTTGAGGAAGTCATCACTATTTATTGATAGTCGTTCAATAATAAGGTTACAGAAGTAAATCATAAATTTATAAGATATCTCAGTCAATCAGTCACTTTCATGCTTTTGGTACCTTCGATATAGATGCTCCAACCAAGAATGATATAATTTCCATTGGTGTAAAGGTCCGGGCTCAGTGTGAAGAACCACCCCTTTCTCATGAAAGAGAGAGAGAGACTTACAACATCCGCTCAACCTGGTTTCCCTGGCTTGCTCCTAAATGTAACTCTTTGTTGGTAATAAACAGAATTCAGCTAGAGCAGGAAAATTTTGATGCGAGGTCAAAGATTAAGTAAATCCCTAAATATATTTTCTACCCAAGTAGCGTAAGGCTACTTTTAGCATTTGGGGCAGAAGTCCACTTCTGTTCCAAGCAAGTGGTGCTAAAAATCCCAAGTGGTTGGCAACACAATAAACATCTTGAGATGTGTGTTAAGGTTAAGAATGAGTAGGAGCTATGCCTCCTTTCCTCCAAAACATCTACATGTTATGTAGCAGGACAGGTTTACTTTACATCCTGGATGTTACTACTGAACACCCTTCATATTTTAAAGGAAATTTTAGTATTATTGTGTTACAGACCTGGGTATATGGAATTATGACTGACATATTTATAGTATTTTATAATGTTCAAAATGCACTGTATATTGGAAACTGGATGTGCTTTAGTTGAGTATTTTGTCACTGATTTTAAAGTCCTTTTGAGCCAAAGTAATATTTTGCACTGATTATATTTAAATATCAGATTGTTAAGAAAATGACACAATATTAATATGCAATTATGTACATTAATTATGACACTTTAATCATCTCCAGAATCTAGACTTTTCGATAATTAAGAGGCTTATACCAATGAGCCTGTCTTTTCATGAAAAACTAATACATAACTGGTTTAAGATTTTCCCTACTTTCTACAGAACCCAACAATTTATTACACTGTTTACAAAAGCCCATCACTGGACTCTATCTTGACCCAGTTGAATTTATAGTCTATTAAATGATGCTTTCAGTATCCAGACTGTACAGCGTCAGATATAAAAGTGAGTAATGAATTGGAAAGGCTGCAGAAGGAAGCAGTCATGGCCTAATGTAAGGTACCATCTGGCATTTGCCTGGAGGGACCAAGGAAAGCCACAACAACCTTGGGTCAGGATAGCAAGTCTATGGGTCAGAATTTGAACCTGGGAACTCCCAAATACAAAACAGGAAAGCTACTCTTCTACCAGGTTTTCTGACTAAACTCTAATATGTCTATTCACCTGCCCGATTGTACTCTTCATCACATGTTCTTAGCTGATGAAATTGAGGATGCAGTGGGAGCTCTGTCTGAGCCTCCTATATACTCTCATGGCATAATGCTGAGGCAGAAGAGAACTTTTCAGTAAAACCTCAAATCTTACAACTTTTCAGTAATTAGATTTACTTTAAATGCAACTCTACACCTAATATGCTCCTGAAGATAACCAGTGAAGGTTGCAGTGAGGTATAATACAATAAAAAAGTTGTGTAGACAGTATTACTATTTACAGTTTTATTTATCATACATTTTGTGTTCTCTTGCCATGTATTTCACAAACAGATAAATCTTCTGTTAGGATTTAAGGTTCTCATGGAGGTGAAGATGAAGATGACTGTCTTCTTGGATGTAGTGCTGTGTAGTTTGAAAGACGTTTACCAACATCTCAGATATTGTTGCTGTCTCCATTGTCTGTGCAATTTGAATCTCCAAACTCAGTGATGAGTAGCCTTCCCATAAGTAGGATCTGAGGTTCTCATGATAGAGAGTATGAAGATAGCTGTCTTCTGGGTTGTAGTCTGGTAGAAGTTTATCACTGTTTCAGAGATTGTAGCTGCCTTCATCATCAGCCCTCAACCCAGAAGACAGCCATCTTTGCACTTACTGCCATGAGAACTTCAAATCCTCTATGGGAAGGCTACTCATTACTGCATTTTTGAGAATAGTCACAGCAGCAAGGACCTCTGAAACTTTGGTAAACTTATACCAGACTATTAGGTACTGCAACCCAAAAGACAGTTATCTTCCAAACATTCTGTTGTCTGTTTGCAACTTTCCTGGAGTTTATTTCCACTACACACGCTTTATTCGTGGTACGTCTTCATTGTAATTTGAATGAGTTAAACCACCAAACACACCATCATACTTGTGTACATCATCAGGCTCAGTCTCATTCTTTTTAAGAAATGATGGTATCCAGTTCTCTGGTAACTCCATTCTGATGGTACGTGATGGATGTTGTAGTTTATCATTTTCATTTATGCAGTTGCATCTCTTGGTTTCTTTGTTGTCCTATGAACAGAATAAAAGTAAACATGATATTCAATGTTGAATATTGAAAAATCACCAGAAATATGGGCCTAAGTGACGCAATTTTAAATAGAATGTTTTTAAATTCAGCATGGACTGCAGATATTAATAAAATATGCAAAATTTATACACTATGAAAACCATGTAAGAATGGTTTATGGTAACTCCATGGAGCAGAATCCTTGAAAAGCTAACAGTTGCTTAACTAGTCAAATTCCTTGCCTTTTATAGAACCTGAAGGTTTGTTGCTTTGTTTACAAGAGCCTGATATTTGACCTTGTCTTAACCCATTTCAGTTTAGTCTACAACCTCACATCCTGCTCTTTAAGAACCATATTAATATTATCCTCCCATCTAGGTTTCGTGTGGTTTCTTTCCTTCAGGTTTTCAGATTAATGTTTTTTGTGTGTTTTTTCTTTCCCCTTCCCTTCCTGTTTGACTTCATGCCCCATGCCCCATGCAGCTCATAATCTATCATTTGCTAACCCCAATTTAATTTGGTAAAAGTACAAATTACAAAGCTCCTCATTTTGTAGTTTTCTCCTGTTTCCTGTTACTTCTCTCCTAAGCCAATGTTGAGTGGTTTGTGAACTAAGTAAGAAAATCAAAAGATAATATTAACATAAATAAGTTTTCCCTGAATGCATTTGGTTAGTGGTACATTTAGTGTGTTATATTAGAATTAGTGGTATGCCAGGGAAAAAGGGTGAGGACCCCTGATCTAGAGAATATGATTTCAAGAGAAGCCCAAAAAATTGTCTGCCTACTGAACACACTGCTGTGATAATGAAAACATGTTCATTTTGCATGATTTACTACAGTGTGCGAGTTTTCTTCATCTCAATAGGCAGATCACAGGTTTCTGTTTTTTCTTACAGTGTTATTAATTAGAGATGCTACTGAATTGTTTATACTTACTGAAGCTTTGCTTTGCCCTTCACCATAATCATGAGAAGATGATTCTTCATGTCCATGGCCTAAATTCTGTAAATGTTGATTAGTGTCATGCACATCATTATCATATGCTTTGCTGTTAATATCTTTTATAAATTTCTCCATGCCAAGCTCTCTTTTTATGTTATCTTTTAAAGCTTCAGTGTGTGCATCTATCAGGTTTGTGATTCTTCTTAGTTTATCATTTTCACTTTCAGAAGAATGAAAGTTATGGCCATGTTTGTTAATTCTTGTGTCATCTTTGATCACTATTGGGGATGATACTTGATTCAGAATTCCTTTTACCCCATTATCTGGATGATTAATTGCCTTTTTGCCTTCAGTATTATCATTACTTCCCAGAATTTCTTCATGGTTTCTGTGAGTATTATAATTCCTCAGATCATCTGATTGGGGTGTGTCTTCATGAGAAAAATAATTCTGTTCATTTTTATCATTATACACATATATGGTGTCATCAGGATTGCTTCTTTCAGATATCGGAGTATTTGAATAATATTTAATTTTGGGATATTTCTTGTGTGATCCCCACATACTTTCTCTCATCATTCTATCTGCAAGAGACTCTTGAAATCCAGGTATTGACTTTAAAAAGGTGCGTTGCCGATTAGAAACGTAGTCAGTAGGTTTATTTACCCTGAAAACAAGAACGTGATCAGATGCTTTTAATTATCTACTTATGCCATATATTATTATTTATAGCCCTGGATTGTATGTTATGTTAATATAAAACAATGATCAATCCAAAAAGTTTTTTCTTTGGCTCCAAATGTTTTCTCATATCACATCCAGTGAGTGACGGTATATATTTCAGATTTTCCAAATGTATTCTTTCCCATTTTGCACCTCCATAGGTACTTTTAAGCTGAAGTTTGTTTAAGTAATATTTAAGAATTCAGTCTGTATGAAAAAGAAAACACTATATTTTATCTTTACAAAGGTCATCTGATTAATGCTGTTTACACACAGAATCATACAAGATTCATAAATACAAAAATTGCACATTTAAAGCAGGTTGCACATGTCCATTGGGCTTTAAAGGATTAATCAGTGCTTAACAAATTGATGTTGCAAAGGTAATAAAAAGCACAGTTATAAGGAAACATATTATATGTGTGAATTAGTGCAGTGTAATAATTCATTAGGTACACAACACCAGTTAGAACCCTCCTTTTTAACAGAAAACTGAAGTTTCATATGAGTTAAATGGAATCATTTAGACAGACAATACCTTGTACAGCAAACACTCAAAATGTCTACTTTCTACCAGCATGAACTCACACTAGGTACTAATCTTTCAGCATTCTTACACACGTTGATCTTTCATAGTCAGTTGAGATTTGGAAGAAAATCATTTGTGAAAGTGCTAAGATAGTCAATAGGATGGTTAGTTTATTTTAATAGTCAGGTAGTAATAATAGTGAAATAATTCCCTAAAATGCCTGTAGACTTGGTTTGACAAATGAAAGATATTTTGAGTGCAGTCATGAGACTGCCATCACAATTATATAACATACCACTGCTACTACTTCATATAATTTATAATACTGATTAGTACTAAATTATCTTCATTTGAATGATCTAGTTCAACATAATTTTCACTTTTTTAATTTCTGAATACTGTATAACAGTCACAGTAGCCATTTTCTATTAATACTTATATTTAAAAAGGCCTGACATTCTTTTGTGTATATGTAGACTTTGAAGACTGGCATTAGATGGAGTAATAGTAATTATTGTACATGAGAAAGACATGAATTTTACTTTGTGAAAACATTTCCAGTTATTCTTAATAGATAGAATTGATGTGATGCAGAGACTTTTATTCAGCTTTCAGACTGTTTATGATTGGTATTTTGTAGAATATTTGTACTTATTGTTCTGGGCATGAAAGCATTTCAAGATCCAAGGTACCACGATAATTTAATTTAATATCTGCAGACACTTCTTCCTTTATGAACACACCTATCCCTTTAGTATTTTAAATGGCAAAATTCTTATGTAAGTTTTCAACAACAAAAATTTATGATTCAAAAATATGATTCAGTCTGTGGTGAAGAATATTTTAAAATAAGAACAACTCTGCAGAAACTGTTGATATCAAGATGACTTTTCTGACACATAATATAAAGTAACCACATTACTGTGATCAGATGAAGGTCCATATAGTGTCAATCAAGCTATGGCAAATTTAAATGTTAATTATACAGTTAGTAAAAATAGATTTACAGGCAATGATAACACAAACCGACCGGTTATCTTAAAAGACAGTTTGAGTGTCATACCAAGTGATAATGTAATTCTTCAAAAGATCCAAATGAATACTAATGTAAGTGAAGTTGATAGTACTATAGCAAATATTTCGAGTCAGGTTATATTAAATACATTTTTGAAAGTCTTCCATCAGAATATTAGAGGATTTAGAAAT